TTTCCACGCATCATCTCATTTAATCCTCAGCACCCATGCAAGGAAAATGCTAACTTCCTTTGGAAGTTAAAGAAACAGAGACTGAGAGATGCTAGTAGTTGAATGGTGACCAGTGGAATCAAGGCCGGAATCCAGTTTGGATCTAAGGAGACTTTCGTTTTGTTTTGCTTTGATTTGATTTCTTTTGTTTTGAGACAGAGTGTCACTCTGTGGCCCAGGCTGGAGAGTCGTGGTGCAAACTCAGCTCACCGCAACCTCCAGCTCCCGGGCTCAAGCGATGCTCATGCCTCAGCCCCCTGAGTAGCTGGGATTACTGGTGTGCACCACCACGCCCAGCTTTGTTGTGGTGGTTGCTGTAATTTTAGTAGAGATGAGGTTTCGCCACGTGGGCCAGGCTGATCTCAAACTCCTGATCTTAAGGGATTCTCCTGCCTCAGCCTCCCAAAGTGCTGGGATCACAGGTGTGAGCCACCCCACCCAGCATAAAGAGCCTCTCACTCCATTGTCTCTTGCCCTGTGACTGGGGGGCTCCATGCCTCGAACTGGGATGATGATGTCCAGACCTGGGAGGAGCCCAGGCATGCCCGCCTCTAAAAGTCAGAGGACAGCAAGCAAGAAACGGTCACAGGACTGCCCTGGAGGGTGTGGGATCACCTGCCCCCAGGGTGGAGCTGCCTGTGGCCTTGCACCTCCCCTCCCCAGAGGCCGGTGCCTGCCTCCCAGCCCTCCTGGATGGGGCAGGGGTTACCGTCTCCTGTTCGCCAAGCTTCTCCTGCAGCTCCTTTCCTTCCTGCTCCAAATGCAGTGCGCTCCTGTTCTGGTTCTTCTGTACAGAGAGAAGCAATCAGTGGCCACCCACTGCAGCTGGAGACCCCAGAACTATGTGACTGCCTCCCATGGCACCGGGAAGGGTAGAGGTAGGTTAGAAAAATTGTCTCCTTTCTCCCACAGCCATCAGAGCAGGGCTGTGATCACAGGTGACTTTAGAAGCCCCATTTCACATACTCCCCCATTTTACAGGTGGTAAAACAAAGGCCCGGAGGGATGGGGAGGAGAGCAGGTTCCCCAGGTGGGCAACACACCAGCTCTTCCTTCTGCTCCTGGAGCCCCTCCTGCTCAAGAAGCCTCTCCTCCTGTTCTCTCAGCCTCACGTCCTGCTCCCGGAGCCGCATTTTCGCCTCCTGCAGTCTCTGCTGTTCCTGCAGCTCGTCTCTCAGGTACTTGGTTTCAGTTTTCAGGTTTTTCTCCAAGTCAGAGTGCCCTGCTGGGTGCTTCGAGTTTGGGGGTTCAGCTGAGGAAGGGCACAGACAATAAGGGCCTCTGGGTTGTCAAAACAAAAATCTCTTCTGGGTGCACAGCTCCACTCAGGCTCCCCAAACCTGCCCTCACTGCTAATGATTCCTCACACCCAAATGGTAGCCAGTCTTCCAAGCCACTTTCACATAGAGAGCACTGTGGGTGGCTGACAACAGGCACCCCTCCCTCTTTCTGATGGGGACACTGAGGCTCATGGAGATTACGAGACTTGCCGTCTCCTAGCACAGACCTCTTTCCCTCTGCCTCAAAGCCCTTCCAGCCACCCACCTCCCTGGGGTACTCTAAGCCACCCCCACAGCCCTCTGATGCCAGTCCTGCTCCCTGGTCATGCCAGCCCCATCTTACCCAGATGGTTTTGTAGGTGGGCAAGGCTCCCCTTCAGCTCCTCGATTTTAATTGCGTCCTGTCTTTTCTCCATTTTGAATATTTCAATCTGCCCAAAGCACAGGGGGAAAGGGCCCTGGAGAGAGGGGCTGGTGGCTGGACAGGCTACCGTCTCCCTCTCCGCCCACAGCTCCACAAAGCCCAGTCCCGTGACCACCCCTGGCTGGACTATTCTTTTTACAGATGCCCAGGAAGATCCAGTGAGCCATCTAAGGTGGGGGCTGAAGGGTCAGCTCTCACTTCTCCTGCCATTTTCAGCAATTGCTGCTGCCACCGTGCCCTCTCTGTTTTGAGCTGTTCAGCGTATGCATCTCTTTCTAGCTGAGCTTTCTTAAGACACTCCGTCACCTGCAAGAATGGACCCAGAAGTTAGGAAGGGCTGTCACTGGTCCTCACCTGCTCCTGGCCACCTGGGGTCATCTTCCTTCCACATCCCTCCCTCTGCAAAGTCTCACCTCTGCCACCTGTGCTTTTAGCAGTTCCCGCTCCTGTAGAAACTGCTGTAACTGCTGCTCAAGGACTGCTTCACAGCGGCTCGAGGGCTGGAGGGTGGAGAGGGAGAAGCTTCAATCTGGAGAGCCTGGGCCGTTCCAGGGCTAGGGCTGTCCCTTAAAAGGGCTAGGGCTGGGCTTCATACACAACTCGGTCAGTAAAATCAAGGCCCATGGTCTGGATTTTAAAAGAACTCAGTAAAGTTGGAAGGGACAGGCAAAGAGATGAAATTTACAGCTGGCTAACACAGGCCCAGAGAGATCATGTCATATTCTATTGTTATTCCTGTTGTTACTACGCTGTTGGAACCTTTATTGAGTGCGTCACCAGGTAGTGTGGTAACAATCCCATTTAACCTCACAGCCACCATGTGAAGCAGTTGCTACCATTACCTCTATTGGGTAGATGGAAAACATGGAGTATTAGAGGTTAAGTNTCACCTGCAAGAATGGACCCAGAAGTTAGGAAGGGCTGTCACTGGTCCTCACCTGCTCCTGGCCACCTGGGGTCATCTTCCTTCCACATCCCTCCCTCTGCAAAGTCTCACCTCTGCCACCTGTGCTTTTAGCAGTTCCCGCTCCTGTAGAAACTGCTGTAACTGCTGCTCAAGGACTGCTTCACAGCGGCTCGAGGGCTGGAGGGTGGAGAGGGAGAAGCTTCAATCTGGAGAGCCTGGGCCGTTCCAGGGCTAGGGCTGTCCCTTAAAAGGGCTAGGGCTGGGCTTCATACACAACTCGGTCAGTAAAATCAAGGCCCATGGTCTGGATTTTAAAAGAACTCAGTAAAGTTGGAAGGGACAGGCAAAGAGATGAAATTTACAGCTGGCTAACACAGGCCCAGAGAGATCATGTCATATTCTATTGTTATTCCTGTTGTTACTACGCTGTTGGAACCTTTATTGAGTGCGTCACCAGGTAGTGTGGTAACAATCCCATTTAACCTCACAGCCACCATGTGAAGCAGTTGCTACCATTACCTCTATTGGGTAGATGGAAAACATGGAGTATTAGAGGTTAGGTGGTTGCCTAAGATCACTTAGACAGAGCTGGGATTTGAACACTCAGGTCCATCTGACCCTCGAAGCCCATTTTTTTTCCTGCTGGGGGTGGGGGCACAGACGGGAAGGGGGAAATTAATCTTTTGCTTACTTTTTGAAAGCATGATACATTCTCATAGTCAAAAACTCAGAAGGTACAGAAGGGAAGTATCTCCCAGCCACCTGTGCTCTCTCCTGAGATTTTTACAAATGCTTGCAGACATGTTTTATGTATATTGTCATATAGTACACACACACACACACACACACACACACACACACACACACACACATGTTCCCTCTCTACACAAATTGTAACATACTAGAGGTACTCTTCTGTACCTTCACAGTACAAGCACCCAGTCTCCCACCTAGGACTTGGCCAAGGCCACAGCCAGGTAAGGGCAGGGCGGGCATTTGGCCTCTGAGCTCTGCATCCAGTGCTGGCTCTCCATAGCACCCTTCAACTCACCCACAGCAGCCCCAAGGGGAAACTGGAGCCCAGGATTGGCAGCGTGGAATCAGGGCACTCCACTGGACTCTTACCAATAAGTCCATGGTGTTATTCAGTTGACTGGTTGTGACGGAGCTCGAGTCCAGGGCTATTTGTAGTTGGTGTGTGCTCTGAGGCACCTGCAGAGAGGAGGAGTTGGGGGAGGATCAGGGGAGAGGTAGAGAGAACGATCATTAGGGTTGGGGTGTGTGGGGGTTGTCTTGGCTGGCAGAGGGGCACCCAGCTGCCACTGTGGGAGGAGGGTGGAGGGCTGGCCTGCAGGGTCACTGTACCTCAGCTCAGGGCCTCTTACCTCTGGATCTTTCATGGTGGCACATGGTGCAGGGCCCTCCTTGGGACCACCTGCTGCTGACTACAAGAGATGAGAGTGCACATGGAGATGTTCTGTCCCCTCAGTGTCCAAGCCTCTGACTTCCTTTCCTCCCCATCAGCTGGCAGCACTTCCTGTTCTGCCTCTCGGACCCGTTGTCCCATAACTCCTCTGTGCCAGCTCCTCTCATGGTGCTTATCTCCCACCATCCCACCCTGGGGCCCTTTCAGTGACTTTTAAAGGGACAGCCTGACAGCAAAAGGCTGTTCTCATTGGGCTGGCTACCCTTTGAGACTGGGGATGAGGAAAACCAAACAGCAAGGACCCTTTCCTGGGTGTCCTGGGAGTTTACAGCAGGCCATGTACTAGGGATTAACAAAAACACAACAGCGATAACGAATCTCATTTCACCCTCACAAATGGAAGTCAGACAATACCACCTCTATTTTACAGATGTGAAAGGAGAGGCCCAAAAGGCTCCAGCAACTTGCCCTAAGTCATATCCCTAGCAGATGGAGAGGCAGGATTCAAACCCAGAATTCCTAACCAGTACCCAGAAGTTCTTCCACAATCTTAACAATTCCCCTCTACTGCCCCTTGGGCCCCTTTTCCCCAGAAGCCTGGCGGGCCAAGACTCACATGGCATGGTGACTGGCAACCATCAGAAGTGCCTGTCTCAGGGCTATTGTTGTTTCTTTTCTTTCTCCGTCTCACTGGTGTTGGAACAGCAGGGCTGTTTCTTTGTTGAAATTCTGTTAACTGTGGGAAAAAAGAGCAGTAATACTCATGAGAACTACAAACTCTAACAATCACAACCTACGTTACAGTTTTTAGAAAATGCTGTTACACACCATCTGATTTAATGCCACCAACAACTCCATAAAGTGTTGTCACAATCACTTAGTGACTGAGCGGGATTGATATCATGGCAAAAATAATAATAAAAAAAAGGAAACAAAAAGAAAAAGCAGATAAGCTGTAAGT